CACACACACACACACACACACACAGAGCTGCAGCAAAGATCCAAAACCCTGACACCTCCACATTTGCATGCCAGACCTTGAGCCCCAGCTTCGATGGCTTCGATGCCTTCGATGCCTTCAATGCCTTGGAAGTTCTCAAACAGTGATCCCAACTGCAAGAGCTCAAACAGTGTATAGATCTTTTATGCACAACTTAAAGGGTGGTCAGTCATGCATGCTGGTATGTCCGGTTTTGTTTCCTTCCCAACTGCACCCTCCCCCCACCCTTCTGGTCTTCTCCAGTTTCCAATTCCGATTTCAAAACTTTAAAACTTTCAATCCAACCACATGCATGGGCAGTGCTCTTGCTCCTCTCACCTTACTGAGCCCATTCTCGTTGATCAGCGGTCCCTGTCATACCAAACAAACACAAAGACAACGAACAGCAATGATGTCATTTGTCACCTTTCTTCTTCTTCTTCTTCTTCTTCTTCTTCTTCTTTAAACAAACACAAAGACAACCAACAGCAATGATGTCACTTCTTCTTCTTCTTCTTTCCGATTATCATCATGGATAGTTCTCGTCATCGTCATCATTGGCAGCATGGTCAGCATCGAATCATCGTTGCCATCATCACCATCGATCATCATCAGCACAGCAGCAGCACCACCACCACATCATCACACCAGTGACACCAATACAAATGCTGCTGCTGATGATGAATGATCATCCACCACCTTGAGCGTCATCGTCATCATCATCATCATCATCATCATCATCATCGTCGTCGTCATCATCATCATCAGTGAGAGAGCCAGCAGCAGCATCAATACATATTAAATATCAAATATCAAATGTATGAGAGAAAAAATTGCAAGAGGAGGAGTTCTGAGGAGGAGACCACACCGATGGGAGGGAGAATGAAAGTGGAGGGGGGAAAAAAAGAAAAGAAAGGTGCACAGAACAGAGGAGCTGGCAGCAACACTAATTTTAAAATTAGTGATTTCACTTACTATAGAGACGCCCTCGTCGAAGCCGTTTCCTACTTTAAGCTTCGCCACTGCTTCCGCTAACTTCTTTGAAAATTCATCGTAAATGCCTGCAGTGCATACGCATGCAGTGCCATGCACACAAATAAAGATAGTATTATAAATTCAATTAAAATTTAAAAAGTATAATTTTTTTTTTTTTTTAATTCCTTCTTTCCTCTTCTTTTTTTTCTTAAAAAAGCGCGACGGCGTTGAGATATCATCATTGAACTGACCCGCCCTAGGTAATTCAGAATTCTAGTATTATTTCACTCATCTGCTTCCAGTGGATTTCGAATTCTAGTAATTCAAATGAAGATGTATCAACTGAGCCAGCAATCTAGGGATAATCAGACTGGACGTCCGGATCGGGATCCAGACGGTCCGGTCTGGATGTCCGGATCTGGTGTCCGGTTTGGGGGGTCCGGTTGGTCCCCATTTTTAGAAAATTTGAATTTTTTTTGGGGGCTCCCCAGGCGATTTTCCAGTGCCTGGTGGTCCCCCGAAAATTGTTGACGCAGTTTTTGGTGCACCGTTGGACCAACCGGACCGGCCCTGAAGGGCTTGTACTTGCAATCTTGGGTGAGCTTCAGCAGGCCAAGGAGAATCGGTTGTGTGAGTGTGTGTGTGTGTGTGTGTGTGTGTGTGTGTGTGTGTGTGTGTGTGTGTGTGTGTGTGTGTGTGTG